TGCAATGTGTGAGCGGGTTTATAATTTGGACTAGGCCTGAAATGATGTCCTGTGTCGTCGCCGCCTCACAGTGGCCGTGACATGGCCGAGACATTCAAATGTGTGAGCCGAGACTGAAATCAAACATAAAAAAAAGACATTTTGACACAAAAGAAGACATTTTGGATACGCGACCCGCCAGAACAGAACCAGAGCTTGAACAAATGCCACACAAAATGCCCACGGCCAGTGCAAATGGCCTCTCAAAGGATGGGCCTGAACAGGAAAGGTCAACTATGTGGAGGTGCCTCGGTAGAAGCCACTTCGTAAACAGTGCTGGCGCAGAAGAACGACCGGATGAAATTGCTGCAATAGCAGGCAGTCTAGGGGCAAGCAGGGAACGCCAGTCAAAGGCCAGACCTCAGCCCGTGCTACGGTGGCTGTTTCGCTGCAAGGTGCAGGCATGACAGACAGTCCGAGATTACAAGGCAAGCCGCCGCGAGAAGGAACGCCGTCTTTTCCGGTGGGGACCAGCCAGGTGCATGTTGAACCTGTGATGCAAACAAGCACTTGCTACCTGAACATGCCTAGCAGATCATCACAAATAGCTTTCGCATCGATCCAACAAGGTAGAGGCACCCAGTGCACCGCGGCGTTCTTCATGTCCTGGTGCCGGAGCTCCACGCAACCGACGACTTTCGACACTCGTTGCACCCATCCATGACACCAACAAGCGCTTTCACCGTGCTAACTGGAAAGCCATGGTCTTTCATCGAAAGGTTTGTGAGGTGCCTGCAGCTTTGCCAAGCCATGCGCCGAACCGCTGTCGATGCCGACGGACAGTATGTTGCAGAACTCCTGGGCAACTATTGGATCAAGCTCAGCATGACGATGAACATGGCACCGTTCGACGACTTCACAAATGCTTCGGCTTGAACTTTGCGCCAGGATTCCCATCGCAGATCTCTGAAAGCCATGAACCGGTGGTTTTTGGACCTTGTTCTTGCACGTCGTTGTTGCTCCAACTGCTATATTTATACCGACCTGCTTGCGGCGAAGCTGCATGCTCGCCTTTCCAATCCAGCTCGGATCGGAGCTTGACCACCTCAGTCGGTTGGCACCAAGGCAAGCCGGACAGAACTGAGGCAGAACGTGTAGCGAGCGGCATGTCTTCACTCTCAGGTTTGTTGTGCGCGATGACGAATCGGCTTCCTTGGCAAGAACTTTCTAGCACAATTGGCCTCCTTCCGCCTGTTACCTTCCACCAGCACTTCGAGCGAAGCTGCCGTACTCGCCCAAGAATGTCTGTTCCGTCTGACATTTGCGCCTCAATGAAAACATTGCAAGCCCATCCTGCTCACTCGAAACCATGGCCACTCAGCCAAGCTGCTGGACAAGGTCACCTGTGATGATGCGGGCCATGAAGTTGTACGGCTGCATACCTGTCACCCGTCATGTGATCAGCACATGCAAAGCCCCGGTCTGAGACTCGGAGGCGAGCCTGCCGTGAGCATGCCATCCTCGCTCAGGAAACCAGCTTGCAGCAGTTCTTCGAAAACCTGTGGTTGGCATCAAGCTTGTCTTCCTTTTCCACTACATGCAGTCGTGTGCCCCCGGCCAAATCAGCACCCGTGTCAAACATGTAGGTGCGGACCTCCAATACATCTCGCAAGGTGCTGCGCACAAACACCTGCTAGATGACGGGGTGTGGAGCCTTTCTGAACTGTTCTGCTGTGCACACTTCTTCGAAGTGGGCATTGAACAGGTCCTGCCGGCTGAACAACACGACCCAAGATAACGATCACGAGGCGATGACGCGGCGGCGGCTGCCATAGCGTGCGCAGTGATTCGGACGGGGATGTGGCCACGTGGGCGCGAGTCGTGGGCCACGAACGTCGAGCAGGTAGTGGTAGTAGTAGTGGTCGTAGTCGTAGTCGTAGTCGTAGTCGTAGTCGTAGTCGTAGTCGTAGTCGTAGTCGTAGTAGTAGTAGTAGTAGTAGTAGTAGTAGTAGCAGTAGGAGTAAGAGTAGTAGTCGTCGTCGTCGTCATCGCAATGGTGGGCGAAGTGCAGGCGACCACCACCAACATCACCACCACCACCACCACCACCACCAACAACAACAACAACAACAAGAGTTTACACACGTTAAGATGCTGATGCTAGTGGTGATCCTGAAGGATGAAGAAGAAAAGACTAGTCAGGATCGTAGAGAATGAGCGCCTGAAGGCGCAGACGATGATCATGACAATGTATGGCAGTGACTGGGTTTGTGAACATGGACCGCTGCTGCTGCTGCTGCCGATGGTGGTGGTGGCGGCGGTGCCGGTGTTGGTGGCGGCGGCGGTGGCTGCAGGTGGCGGGCTGTGGCGAAGGACATGGCGATATAAGCTCCTGCCATGTGCCAAAAGCCTCCATGGCTCCAGGGTTGCTGCCATCCTTCTCCATCCTAAGTTTCGTCGGATAGCTTGCAAGTCAACTGGCTAGCTGACCGCGTCTCAGAGGCTGAGCAGGAGACTGTTTCTGGAGGCTGTTGATCTCTGAGATTTTCTTTTCTGTCTGCTGCGTGTCCGGGTGCTCCTTGCCAAGCCTGGTGTCCGCACGCGAAGACCGCAAAGTGCCGAACATCTGTGAATACGCATGCCAAGAAGCTTTTCAATCCGCAGCTTGTGCACTAAGCGGAGCCTGCTGGTGAAACAAGGAAAACAACAAGAAGGCATTAGCGCAGCCTTTCCTAACTTGTGATCTTTGCCAAGTTAGCCAAGTTGCTGTTCCACAGCTGTGTCGACACGCTTTCCTGCCAACGATACAGGGCTGCAATCTTAGATGGACAAACCTTGCACGCATCAGATTTCAGGACCACCACTTCGCGTTGGGTCCTGTGAGGCTGCCCTCCTCGTGGAAGCATCGGTCAATCCAAGAACAGGCTTGGTTGTGAAGAGATGCCAGCGTCAGCGGGTGCCCCTGCCGAGGTGACGGAACATCACCCCAAACTACCAAATGATACACCATGATACCATATGCCACCACATGTGCCTGTTGCAGAGCAGCTGTGAGATTTTCCACCGCACGCTCATGGAGCTGCTCGGACTCTGCAAAAAGCTCTGCCGAAGGTACCGGCGCCTGCTGGCATTTACAGCTGAGCTCTGCGACCGGGAATTGGAAGAAGCTTCTGCCTCCGACAGAAAACGCGCGAAGTTGCTCTGCCTGAGCTTTGCAGTCACGGTGATGGTCGAATGTCAAGGACGCAGGCTTCCTCGACATGGACCCCGCATTCTGGACAAGCAGGTTTCGCCTTGGACTATACCTCCTCCCGCTGCTCAGCAAATCGCCTTCCCCGTAGGATGCTCCGAATTCACGGTGAGGTCTGCAACCGAAACATCCCGGATTCTGGGTTCTGAAGCAACCATTCTCCGACTACACAACTCTGACATGCGCTCCAGGTCTTTCTTTGACGTGTGTTCTTCCGCACGTGAAAGCTACAAGCTAAGGCTGGTGCGTGTATAGCGTCCTGGGATCCTTTGCCCCGATGGTTGCCTCTCGGCCCTTCACGGCCAAGCCTCAGCCAGTAATGCAGAAAGCGTTGTTAGTCTGCCGACTACAAGTTGACAAGAAACTGTAAAGAGATCGAGCTTCGTCAAAGATCTCGACAGTCAGGGGCCTCCGGTGTGATTGCATCGCGATCCGCACTCGGATGCAACTGAAAGCACGATGGGAGAACGGTTGCCTGCGTAAGCTCAGCAACACGGCCAAGTTGGAGACGCTTTGCAGGGTTTCCTTCGCAGTGCAGAACCCTGCGGTCGTACAACCTTGAACCCATGTCACTTCATGCTCTCATGTTGCTAAGCTGTTTCATGTCAAGCGCAAGCTGAACAACTGCCTCGTGGTTCTCTCCAAGAATTCGCCGACGACGCTGCAAGCAGTCTCTGTGCCGCTCCATGGCCTGGAATAGTTGTGGTCTGCCAGAAGTTCTCTTTTTTGATATCACAGCATTCAGAGAACGAATCCTAAATGGCGCGGCCCAAATAACGAGCGAGAGATAAGAGAAACGGCTTTTGGGCCACGCCGAGGAAAAAGCAAGAAGAACAGTGCACAGAAGCGCAGCCCGAAGTGAGGAGCCAGAGATATGAGAAGCGAACAAATGGCAAAGGGCCGAGGACAAAGGAGGAACGCAGCCGGACTGGCCAAAAGCGCACAGAGGCCGGGCCCGAAGCAGGAGAAGATATGCATAGGGCCAAGGGCCACGCCGAAGACAAAGGAGGAACAAAGCAGGAATGGCCAATAGTGCACAAAATCGAGGCCTGGAGGAGTGAGAGGTCGGGCCAAGGTTCTGTCCTACCGGTGCCAACTTTAGATCCTTGCGTCAACACCCTCTGGACCCTGGAGTTTCCTACCTTAGGGGGCGGGAATGCAGAGGGCGGCACTAGTTGGTCCCAACCGCCGAGGACAGTACCATTTGCCGCTCTTTCGTCTTCTCTTTTTCACGTCCCTTCCCTTTGCACTCCTGGAGCTCTCCTGTTGTCGTTGTGGCCGTCGGTGCTTTCTGCATCCGATGGCAGCGTCGTTTGGGCTGCTCGGGCTCTTTCGCTCCTGTTGCGTGGCCGTTCTCCTCCTACGGGTTGTTGTCCCCGAAGCGTGGTTGACATCCTACTCGCTTATTTCCTCTGCTATGGCTCCGCTCCTCGCTTGGTTGCGTGCAGCGGCATGATTTAAGACATGTTTTAACTTTTCCTTCCCATCCCCGTTCAACCTGCTGTCAACAAGGCTTGCAGGAGCTCTCCGTTCGCTCATCCTCGCGGCCGTCTTCGTGAAGCCCGGCAGCTTTCCGATGACAGACAGCCATGTTTTTGTTTGTTCCGATATTAACACTCTTTCTATTCATGATCATCATGATCATATGGCGGTCTGCCCCAACAGACAAGCTTGCAGTTGCGGGCAGTCACACCGTCAAATTCACACGAAACATCTCGTCACAAGCGATGGCCTCCTCTATCTGGTGTCCCTTCTGCAAAGTGACCTTTGCAATCGGCGACTCTCCAAACAAGAACGCCCTATGGCATGCTAAGCACGCAGCTGCGAGCTGGTTCAAGGCACTCATGGCCATCACCTTGCTTTTGGTCAAAGCCCTCACGTCAGCAAAACGGCATTCCGCAATCTGTTGACCTAACTGTTCTTCCAGGCAATCCAAAAATCGCTGCAAGAGCGATCTGTGGTGAGATGAATCTTAGCAAATCTCAGCTTTGAGCACGATGCGCCGAATGTCCAACACTATTATTCCGAGGTTTTGTACGACATGAACTAACGAGGGGTGTCGTTGGACTACGACGTTGTGAACAGTTTCCGATGCGGTCGGTGCTCTGATGAAAACAGTGGTGTAGCTGCATCCAGCCTGGGTGAGAGCTGCGAGTTGGTGTGGGTAGTGGACTGGATGTTTACGGAGGCGGTTGTGTTGATGTGTTCACATGTGAACATGGTGGTGGTGCACCTGGTTTCTTAAAGAGTGTCGCAGGCGGCGTAAATCTGGCTGTTGACACTTTGGGTGAGAGTGCTGGACATGGAGCAAAAGCGGCGACCCTTGAAGCCGCAGGCAATAGTCTGTTAAGTAGTGCACGAGCGATCGCGACGTTGTGTTGGACACTGCTGGGAGCACCATCATAGCCGCTGCGATGCTGGGGTGCTGAAGCAACGAGAGGATTTGCACTGTGTCCGGCTCGAAATGCCGATCCGACAATACCGGAGCTCGTACGTCAGCCTTTTGATTGTCCGGCAACAAACAACCAGAATCATGGCCGTCAGAGGACGTACCAGAAAACCGGCATTGGTAAGATCGCCGTTAACGATTACCACACAACACGACCAGAGGCTCCAACTGTGTCCAACTGGGCTCTGGCTCCCATACTTATACTTGATTACACTATGCATGGCTTATCAGACAACGCGTTCGCACAGTCTTCGGGTTAAACTTCCCGACCACACCGACAGATCACCACACAGCATCACAACATGCAACGTCGGATTCGGCGGCTCCGGCATGGAATGTTGGGTCATCCTACTGGCTATTGCACGGCACCGCCAGCGAAACAAACATGATCGTCATGAAACGAAGGAGTTTTCATCACAGAGCTCCTCTCGCTGACGTGAGCTCATGGCTGCATGCAACAGCAGTGAAAATGACAACAACAAAAAAGACGCACACAAGTACTTCGTAACCGAACTTGTCGATTTCATGCACACTTGCATTCGGGCAATAGTCGCAAGAATACTTTCGGTCCAGCTAGCCAGAAGTGGCACAACTCAGCCAAGTATTGGATGATGATAAACCTGGGCCTTTCGTCGGACACCCTTGTCATACTCCATACTCTGTTCTCCCATCCTAGCGGCCACGGTAGACTCCGCCACGCAGCTTCAAGTACCGCATTTTCACCCAACACAACACACTGCAGCATTGGCGGAGTGTTATGTGTTGTTTTATTCAAAACAGAACTCCCAGAGATTATTAAACACACTACTTTTTGCTTTGGTTCTAAGGGCACGCACGTGTGGAGGCCTTGATTTGATGGTGTAGATGTTTACAAATATGTAAACGGCAACGCAGACGAACATCGGGAAAGATCAGACGAAAACCGATGTCGGCGCCTGTTCAACCTACCACGGGACGGTCGACCATAGGAAGAAGGTGATACTACAAACCGGCGGGAATGACTGGTGGGTGGATTGAAAAAACATTTGTAACCACTAACTCTATTTTAACAACGAACGAAACATGGTGAAACAGTCTAGGTCGAGTCATCAGCCCTGTAAATAAGACTCTGGGCGTGCACACTTCCTTCAATAGGGCCGAGGCGTGATCTTTCCCTTGCTTTTTCTCGACCTCTGCCAAAAGCTCCTGCAGGTTGAGACTGGGAAGGCTTTGCTTCTGAATCAGTGCAGAAATAATGCCTGTCCTTGAAGTAAAACTCGGCGCCCGAAAAATTCCCGCTTTCTCGGAGCATACGTGCTAGATTGTCCTGAGTTTGCACGTGCAGATCTGCAGGGCCACGCACTGCACCGCTGCGCTCAGGATTGGTCCTGCAGGCCCATGCGATCCTTCCAGTTTGCCGAAGTTGCGTTCTCCTTCATGCTCTGCAACCTTGCCATATGTCGGGTGTCATCTAACTCATGCTGACCTACTAAGCGAGAGGGTCAGGCTCACTGGTGGCCATGCCAATAAGCCAGCGTGTCATGCGCAGCTGAACCATTTCGTTCAGCTTTGTGAATCCTGAAGAAGTTGCAGTCATGTTTCTGCCGACCAGTTGCAGATTGCAAGGCTTGAGATGCCTATTGTTCGCCTGATCTCGTCATGAACCATATCCTGCTCATGCACTTGTGCCCACTGATGCCTACCAAGGCATTCAAGCACTGCCTTGCCTGGTGGCTTTTGTGGAAAGCACTGCTAAGCTCCACATCCACTTTGCTCAAAGCGGTCTGCACTTTGGGGAAGGACGTAATCAGTGCCTGGGCGAGTGAAGAAGACGAAATGTTCCAAGTCGACAGTACACCATACCTTGGACCTTGGGTGTCATAATTTATTCCTCACCCATGCGTTCTTGAAACTGACAAGGCACTGCCCTGAAACCATCCAGTTCCTTCTTGGGCCTCAGATAGGAGCAGCTTACCCACTGCGCAGCATGGAACTCCGGCGCACGATTGCCACTGACACCGATGGTACTGTGCGAATACAGGTAGCCACCGCATCATACTGTGGCACAGGTGATGCCTTTCCTGCATAATTGCGTCTGAGAGACATGGCAATGTCGAATCGGGCGCCCGTCTGGTATGCGCAGAAGATCTCCCAGATGACCCAAACTCGCTTCAACGGAGTGGGGTCCTTCTCTCGAGACATGAGACATGACGCTAAAGCGACCGCTGCATGTGCTGCAACAACAAAATGTCGAACGATGGAGGCCTCCCAGGGCATGGAGACAAGGATGGTGCTCCCAACATCGCCTTCACTGTGCTCCAGGGATAGGCATGCGCAGCAACGAGAATCCGAGAATGCAAAAATAATACCTGCAAGACCAAATTCCCCACAGCTCTGAACGAAGGGTAACAGTTGCTCAGCCCCGCGGAGGTTTGGAGGCCGATGTTTCAGAGGAGCCTATTTCGTCAGCTTGACTGACTGCCAGCAGGCGGCCAACAGCTTGGGCGAACCGTGTAGACCACCATTCCATGGGATAAGAATCAGCAATGTGCTGGTTGACCACCTCTTGGAAGCATACGTACATGATTTGCACAAATGTAGCTGCAGTGCCCTATGACAATCTGGGTCCCAAACGAATGCGTCCACCCAGAAGTATGTCGTGACACCACCGCCTGATGAAGAAAGTTGTACTCTGGGCATGCATACACGCACCTGACATGTTGCGCGCCTTTCCGCGCATCCCAAGTTTCAAGTGCATCCAAAAAAGTGGAATAGTTATACCTGCACATGTCACTGACAGCCGCCAAGCTCGGATATCGCAGCAGACAAATTCACAGCGGCCTCCAAGCATGCGAGACAAAGTGATGTGCCTGGGCCGAATCTGCCGAGAAATTGGACTGCTGCATACGTCAGAGACTTTTCAGTGGAGCAGCCATGGTGATGAAGCAGGGCTGCTTCTTTTTGTCCTTCAAGTCCTGTTGGAAGCCGACCTGCCAAGCACTGCAGAGAGCTGTGGTCGGAATATTAAGCCAGCTCATCTCGTTGATATGAGTTTGCCTCGGCGTAAGACAGCAGCTCATCGGCTTCCTCCACAGACATACACAACCTGAGATTCCGAATCGTGAACACCAGCGTTTACAGCCCAGTTCTGCTGAGCATGAACGAGAACTTCAAGAATAGATCCATGCGGTCAGACGAGCCGTGTCCCATTGCATCCATAGACGAGGAAAGCCCTTCGCTATGTCACCACATTTGCCCGGAACAGCGATGCTCCCGAACGAGATGCACAAAGGACAGTGCAGAAGGATGAAAACACGGACAAGGCCAACGACCGATTCACCCGTCACGACCTGCAGCATAGATGCTTGCCGCGCTTGAACATGGTCAGTGGCTTGATGATGTGGAAGCACAATCCACCTGCCAATACTGGAGCATAGCAGGTCTTGCCATCAACTGCTATCCTCCAACGGCAGCTGGCCTATAGAAAAGTTTTCCTGGCTGACCTTCAGACACGAAGGCATCCGACAAATCATGCGCGGTGAATCGCATGCTGGGCGCCTTGGACTTGTGTGTGTCGCCAAACTCCTTGAAGAGGCGGTTGCATGATGCTGCATGCACATACGAAACACCGAAATCGTCTGGCATGTTATGATTCGAACATGTGCTGCCATGTCTTCCCAAGGAGCCTCCAGGAAGGCCAGGGTCACTCCATGCAGTGGACAAATCGGAAGATCAGTGACTGCACTCTTCTCTTGGACCTGCATGTAACCAATCCAGACTATACACTCTACAGTGTGTATCTCTTCATGACAGACCACTGGCAGCCTTGGTGGGTGACCTCTGCATCCTTCTAGCCGTGGATCTTGCATTATACCGAGCACCGAATTCCTTCGCCTCAGCTGTCTTTGCTGCAGATTTGTTGGCTCTGAAACTGCGCGACACAGATAAGACGAGGGCATCCACAACAACCATCCTTGGCCAAAATCGTCTGGGAATCTCGAAATCAGCAAAGCGACGGCCATGACAGCCGAGGCACGACGATGAGACGCCATCACCCCTCAGCACATGCAAGCCGTCTCAAACAAGATGCATAGGTCGAGTCGAGTCTATTATTTTTCTCTTCTTCACATCGTGCCTTGACCAGTCGGTCTATGTCGTGGCTCTTGGAGGTCCGACGGAACCAGCAAACAGTGCGGAATACCCACAATGCGGAAGACCCGTGCCAACAGTCACTTGCAGAAGAGCGTCCCCAAAGCAGACGAACCGACCTTGAGCTCAGCCGATTCCTGCGACAAGAACGCGCATGCGAAGCGCTTGCCTGCCAAACACTTACCATTACCGTCTGTTCTACTGTCTGTTCTGTGCTCGGAATAACGCCAGATGAGCGTCCGAGGTCGAGTTGCAGCACGTGGCGAAACCAGCGCCCATTCTCCTGAATCTGTCAAAGCATTTTGTATGAATGTGGCACGTTGCAAAAAACTGTGGACAGTCCAAACTTCTGGACAGCTTTGAAGTGCATCCAAAATTCCGCGCTGCACATCCCAAACAGGATGCGTCCCGCGCTTGAGACACGAAACACAAAGCACATCGACATGACCGGTACAGTCCTGTACAACGTGGTCGGCAAAGCTGCTTCTGCCAGAATCGCTCCACACAATCCGATCTACTGGTACTACAACATTCACAACGCGACAACGCGCGCCGGCTTCGGGGGTCGCTGCCCGCGTTGATCAGGCGGCAAAGACAGAGCACCCATCGGCAATGCCGGCATGCATGCCACCAATATGCTTCCTCCAAAAGCGACATATGTGTTTTCCAACACTATCGAAAATCGTTTCGCCATCTTGAAATCCGTGTGGAATAGCTTGTGCAAAAGGTTCGGCAACGTGTTGTGCCAAAACACGGGCGGCCGGCGCCAGCAAACATACAAGTGCGTCCGCAGGGCTTGCATGAAGCCACCCGGCACCCGGGTCGGATGGTGTCGAGGACTGCGCCGATGCGTCCGCAACGCTCGGAATCCCATCCCTACTGGCCTGGGTGACGCTTGGTGCAGTGGCCGACCACAAAGAAATGCCGAACGTTGCGCTCATCGTTGTTCTAGCTTTTCCACCATCGTAACAAGCTCGTAGATGCGCACGTTTTGGGTGTACGAAAATTAACCTGCACCCAGCGCGCGCAGCGCAGCCCTGTCACAACGTGCTGCATGCGGGCTGCGCATTGCCAATCATTGCCGCCGATGTGGTGTCCGTCTTTGATTGTGCATGGCTGCAAACAGCTCTAGGTGCAATGCAGAAAAAACCAAACCCCTAAGTTTTTTTTTTTTTTCACGCCCCTTTTTGCGTCTGCCGAGAGCGGTCCGCGTCAGCAGCTACGGCTTAGGTACGGCTAGGGCGGAGCAGGCGCGACCAACGGTAGGCCGCGGCCACAAGGCTCGGGCTAGTCCCAACGCGCATCGGCGAGGACCTCATGCGGCTCCGGCACGGGTCCG